GATGATTATGTATTCACAAAATTGTTTGTACACCCAATTTTACATTAGAGTCTATGTAAAATTGGGTGTACAAACAATTTTGTGAATACATAATCATCTCCCATTTTAATTCCTGTGGATTTTTTATTCTGAAATTTCACTATTTTGGTCTTCAGGCCTTCCACCTACAGTATACCAAAAATCTTCGAGGTTCGATTTCGCGAAGCTTATTTTTTTGAGACATGAAAAACGCCAATTTGTATGAAAATCGTGAGGTGTACAGACAATTTTGTGAGTAACTGTATATATATATATATATATATTTTTATACAAAATTGTGCCCGATGCTTCAAATGGTTCCCGATACGGACGAAGAGCAAACGATACAAGAAGCGCAACGACCAGATGAACGTGTTGGACTTCCAAGAATCATTTATACGAACGTGAGCAAACGAGTGTTGCAAATGCAACGGAAAATCATGCGTACATGGGAGGAAATGCGCGACCAAGGTGATGCTATTGCAGCAATTCTAACCCATCGAAATTCAGGACGTTTGGTATCAAAGAAGCAACGCTTCTTTAAAACCTGGCAACCAGATGCTGCTGAAAACGCTGGAACAGAAGACGCTGCATAATCACGCAAGTTGCTCAAATCACTTTGGCATCGGGACATATCAGCAGCCAAACTGATCATGTACAAAGGTTCATTATCTATTAATATTTCATTTGAAAATTGGATTCGATTTGGTTTTCGCTTGAATTAACTGTTATGAGTGGTTTTATAAACGTTATTTGATGATCAGATTGGATTATGTTCATTTTTCGGTTTGGTAATGTCAAATTGACATCACGCCACCGCATTCTTTGGATATGACTTGTTCAATGCATCATATCACGGTAAGTAGAATTTGTTCAATGCTTCGGAGCGAGAGTTATTTAGACATTTGATTGCTTAACCGATTGCTCCGTTGTGTGAACACCATTAATTGATACAGAGTTCTGTTCTCTTTAATTTAAAATCTAACATTTTTCTTTTCCAGGTTATGAAAAACACCCCACTTATGCTTGGTGATTTGCGTTAATAATTGCTTCTTGGGAATAGCGGGAACATGTAGAAAATAGTTTTGCCCGCCATCTGTGGGTAATTTGAAATGGATGGTTAAAAATGAAACGAGATGAATTTGAAAATATACTATTAACTTTCGTTTAATACATGAACAAAAACATGAACAAAAACATGAACGAAAACATGAACAAAAACATGAACAATTTAAAACCAAAATTCTAATTGTATTCATTTTCGGGAAGTGTGATTCTCATAGCCACTTTTCATGTGACGGTAATGAATAACACCCTGCTATACAAATATAGTGTTTTTGACAAGAAACGTCATGCATAAATGTCTCGATTTCTTCAAACACATGAATGTAAATCTGATCACGGTATAAAAATAAATTTGGTTCAAAAAATGAAATAAGTGAAATAAATGAGTTTTTTATTTTCTGTAGGTCATGATGTTTACAACAACCCAAGGAATATGTAGAATATTCAAATCTGCGTGTCTCACGTCATGGAGTAGTCGACTACGAACAGAGATATTCCGAAGATCGCTTCATGTAATGCAAATGACCAATGTAAATGCAGGACATAGTAGTCTATATTGTGGCAATAGGACTTTACTCGCCAATTCGGACTTCCAATATATACAGACATGCGGATTAAAGCACGTTGGAAACGTTCATCGTCGTTGTAAAGATTGCACATTGATGTTAAAGGAAGGAGTCATGTACAACTATTGCCAAACACATCCTCGACATAACCAAAAAGCAAGAACCAAACGACCAAAAAATACATGGATTCTTACTGCAGTTACAACAACAAAAGTGAGACCATGGTAAATGATTGATATAACTTATTTATCTTGATCAAATGCAAATTTTTATTAATAATTGTTTCGGACAATAAATGATAGAATTGGAACCATTTAAATCATACATTCATTTTTTCTAAACTGATTTGAATAGGTGATGTGTTGTTTTCAACATTGGTGGTTTTTCTGATTAGGTCGATTTGCTTTTTCTCTTGGGGCGCTTTTATTACCATCTTCTCCTGCAAATTTTTCAATGTGCAATCTGATGATTCCTGTTGAACTTTCACATTTGCCTTTAACTAAAAAAACATTTGAAAAGTTTTTAGCGATATTTGAATTTATCATATTTCGAACAAAAAATTGTTTATACCTTTTTTATATTTGTCTTCACCATTTTTGGCTTTTTTCCATCCTTTCTTCGCACTTTCTCCAGAATATTGTTGGTTTTTTTTTGACTTCCACCTTTAGTGAATGCGTTTTTTTTGCCCATCGTATTTTGGTTTAGTATTTTGCCGAATGAGGAAAACTAAATAAATGAGGACAAAAAAGTCAGCAAAATGATAAATTTATGTTTATTAAAAATTTCATTAAAGATTTCTTTATTTAAACTTTTCGAAATAACATTTTCTTATTACTCTTCGTTGGAACCAATTTCCGTAATATATAGTTCGTTTATTATTTAATAATGAATGCAATAAATGTGCAAATCGAAAAGATTTGAGGAGAGAGATTGAATAAGTGAATTCGAACATTTTTTTTCTCATTTCATCGTGTTACATGACTTTTTGCAGCTGAATTCTGCGCCAAATTCAGGAGTGATTCCTCGTTTGCTGCCATTTTTTTTCATGCAGAGGATATCTCGCGTAAGAAAAAAACTTACGCGAAACATGTCCTTATTAGGAGCGACATTTCGTACAAAGTTGACACCTTGGAGATTTGTACCTAATTTATAACCCAAGTTTTCTTCGACTAATCCCTTTGCAATGATAGCAGGTTCATCACCTTTTGCAAAACAATATACATGCACTAATGGTAATGGATCAATTGGTCCTGCATAACCCAACATCAATCCACAAAATGTATCCAAAAATTCGACAGCCATCGCTGGAAGATTCATAGTCAAATGGATTTTGTACAGTTTGCTACCACAACTGTTCCAACGTTTTATTAAATCACATTTTACATCTTCCAGAATAAAATCTCGACCGTCTTTGTTTATTGTTTGCATGAAATTCGTGACTTTGTTTTTCTTCATATTATATTGAAGCCATTTAAATGACGATGGATTCAAATCGTTCGCCATTACAAATGCTTTTCTTTTGGCAACAGGTATCGAAAATGGCCCAACACCAGCAAATACATCATATAAAACGTCGCCCTTGTCGTGCATTTTAATAATTCGTTCATGTTCCGTTGCTAATCTTGGATTCCAGTAGACTTGCGAAAAATCGAATTTAAAGTTGGTGCCGTTTTCTTTGACTTCAACTTGATAGTCTTCTTCACCGGACAACAGTTCTAGGCTGAAATTCCGAAATGTGTTGTCTATTGTCTGTATTTTGTTGATAACACAGCGAATCCCAGAGATTTTGTCACGAAAAACTTCTCCTATAAGTTGTTTGTATGGCAACAAATGTGTTTTCAAATTCACATGTATTATGTGCCCAATACGTGAATATGACGTGCATGACTCTTGATCAGCTGGTAATACGGCTTTTAAAATATCTTCTGTGCTCCAATTTTCATATTTCAATTCAAACTCTTCCCATTTCAAATGAGATCCATTCAAGCCTAAATTTCGAACTTCTTCAGGAAGGTCACCAAAGCATGTAATTGACGTTGGGTGTAGTAGTAATTTCTTCGTTCCATCGCTTCCCAATTCAATTGACTTGTGACGCTGGATTTTCAATAACATTCGTTTGATGTGCGGAATTATGCTTTTCAAACTCACTTCTGTCACATCAAGTTTCGGTATTTGAACGATTTTCTTAAATCTTTCTCGATCTAACAAGGTCATCCCTCGTACCGAGCTGGGTGGTAGCATATCAGGGCATTCCATTCTTCTTTATGCTTTGTACTTGCAAAGCATTACTTTTTTAGTAGAAAAAATGTTTGGAAAAAATTTCGAGTTTATTAGAACTGATGCGAAACAATTAAATCGCTATCAATTACATAGATGTTGAGATCAATATATTAATTATATAAACAAAATCATTTATTCTGGAAGTAAAAAAAATAAATTATACCTTGGGACTCTGTAGAACGTATAACGCACCAAAATTTCGCAAGTGTTACTTTTTTTATGACAGATTGAACATTGTCATGATGTATATAACACACCACAAAGTCACCATTTTATGACAGTCGTATACCTGAACTTGACATTTTGTAACTTATTTCATGTTATAGGTTCACGTGGTATTCAATTGAAAAATGGATTTTGCCAAAAGTTTGTTAATGAAATATGGCTGGAAAGAAGGTATCGGTTCTGAAACAAAGTTTAAAATGTATTCAAATTTCATAATATCTGCTAAATGTTCAATTTAGGTCAAGGTATCGGTAAAAATGAGAATGGAATAAAAACTCCAATTAAGGCAAATTTAAAATTTGATAATACGGGACTATGCTATGACAAAGCTACGGAGTTCACTGATCATTGGTGGGAAAGGGCCTTTAATAGTGCTGCAGAAAATTTAAATGTGGAAAATACTGCTGAAACTGTACAATTATCGCTTAAGGACGAGTCTGTTGAGGTTTGTCAAGATATATAATAGTGATTATGTCGTTCAATATGATAATTTTTTTAAATTTTTAATTAGATATCGACTAGTGGCTTTTCGATGAAAAGGTTGAAAGAAGAACAGATCAATGCAACGCGTGAAAATAACAATGGTAAACATAAGCCAAATTCAAACCTTGGTTCCAACTTAACCGACGATGATATATTAAAGGCTTGCGGTGGTCGTACTGCACATAAGTAAATGATATGATATAATATCAATATAATTAACAATAAATAACATATATAATTTTTACTTCAGGGGAGCTCGTCATGGACTCGCAATGAGTGGAAAACTCAGTCGAATTGATGCACAAGAGCAGCAAATGTTGAAGAACATTGCAATAAATACAAACACTGCACAAGATATATTCAAAGATTGGGTTGTAACAACGAAAAAGAATAAGAAGCGTAACAAGAAAGACACCAATGAGGTAGATGAAACTGCATATAGTCTGCTTGATTCCGATTTAGCCGACCAAGACTATAAAATACACTACAAATCCAAAAAGAAAAAGAAACAACACCGTCAACGAGATGAAGATTTGGCAAATTCATTAGGTAAATTAGAGTTCGAGTCATATACCAGTTCGAAAATACATAATATCCAGAACACTCCTAAAACTGTTAAAAAAAAAAATCGTTCGAAAGTGGACAGATGCCTTAAGAATGCCCACAACAAGACTGAAGCAGAAATTGATTCTGCAAATTATAAATTTAAATATAAGAATTTGAGACAGAAAGAACGATTGAACGCCTCAGAGAATCTATCAAGTAGAAATGATAAAGATCTGTTGATTGATGAAATCGAAACTGTCATCCAAAAACATCCAGACAACAAATTCAAAGTTGTACCCAACGAGCTCACACAGTTGAAACAATCTGGACTAACGGTGAAATCAAAGAAAAAATCAAAAAAAATTAAGAAACAGGAAACCAAGGAAGTAAAAAAATTAGGAAGAAAATTGAAAGAATTGTATTTTACGAATGAAATAAAATTAAAATAATGTACTTTACTTAAGTACAACCTTAATATGATTCGTACTTTTTTTATTCTTTTCCATTCTCTTTTGTTGAATGACATAAGGTGTCAAACTAATATTATGTCAAAAATATAGGTTTACTCAAAAATTATAAAATTTCTCCTGATTTCTTGAATAAAGTCATATATTATCTAATTATTATATACTAAATGTGTTTAATCATAAAAGTGCAAAGTTGGAGATCTTTGCTCACGATAAAAATGAACAGTTCTATAAGTCTACTGTATAAATAATTGTGTGTCTTGGAGTAAATGTTTCAAAAAAAAAACAATACACAAAAATAGAAAATATTGAATTTGAAAATATCGAAGACTTCGCAAAAATATACATATGAACACTGGTCTGGTCGGAAACTTTAAAAATACCGATATCAAAACGAAGTGAAAGAATTTGGAATTATTGCCTTGCAACTTTCAAATAACTGTTGAAGTTCAACACATACAATTGTATTGTTACATTTATTTAGCTGTTTAACATTTCATAGTGATAATTTTAAGTCTTTAAATTCCGTATTCGTTTGTTATTTTTTTTATACTATTGATAGGGTTTATTAAATGAAATAGGACGGAATTAAATGTAAAAATTTCAAATCAAAATGGACGTGATAACAACCACGAATATTAACGGCAAAAATACATCAAAGGGAATCGAGGATCGGTTTACAGCTGCGGTTAACGTTATACGTGGACTTCCGAAAAATGGTAAATTTTTTTTAACCTACGTCACCTTCCATATATGTTTGTAAAATGCGTTTGTTGAATGAAAATGTAAGAAAAGCCGGTACTTTTTTTGATACACCATCAGGTTTAATTCATGGAAAATTTAGAAGAAATTAAATAGAATTAATAAGTTTAATTATTCAGTGAAATAATAACAATATTAATATACCATAACTGTTATAAATAGAAAAAGTTATAGTTTATAAACAAACTATTTACACTTGAAAATGATTAGTTCTAAAATTATTAGATGAAAAAAATTTAGGCGGATTTATGACAAATAAGTTGGAAATCTGTTTGTGATTTACGCAGAACAATATTTTTTCTGAAAAGTTAGAAAATTCTATAGAAATATTGACCAAATTAGAAAAACTTTCTTTTTCTATTCAAAGCAAACGCAATTCTTATTTAGTTGTCATAAATATGTCTTTGGTAGATTCTTTATATTGTGTATTATCCAT